TGTAGCCCAGGCTGGTCTCGAACTCGCAACGATCCTCCTGCCTCAGCCTCCTGAGTGCTGGGATTACAGGAGTGTGCCACCATGGTGGGCAGAAAATTTTCTTTTATATCTTTAAATTATTTGCTTTTACTCTTATGTGCATGAGTGTGTGTTTGGATATGTTTCTTACAATTATTTTTGAGGTTCCTTTAGGCACTTGTACCTCGTTACCTCTAGAATTTATTTTTCCCTTCCTTTTCCACTTTAGCCACCAGTGGTAAAAACAGAGATGGTAACAATTTCTGATGCCTCACAAAGGACAGAAATCTCCACCAAGGAAGTCCCCATTGTCCAAACTGAGACCAAAACCATCACATATGAGTCTCCACAGGTACAGAGCGCAAGACTTGCCTGCTTGAGTTCATTTTTACTCAGCATGTCTGTTCCTTTTTCTGTTGTCTTTTCCCAGTTTATGTGTTTCTGGCTTTGATGTCACTTTTCCCATCTCTGTTTTATAACCAGGTACCACCAACAGCATAACTTGATATGCTGTTCTCTTAGACTGAGCCAGAAAGAAGGAATCAAAGTGGTGACCTAGTAATTATATGAGGACCTTACATATTGACTACTTAGGATAAATGGCACAAATTGTGTTCTTATTGTAGGCATTTCTGGTTTGATGTATACAAAATACTCATATATGCTTGGGAACAAAGGTTGTTTTGCAGAATTTACTGGGTCTGACATACTTTATAGTTAGTAGGACATAGCCTTCCCCCTCCTCTAGCTCAATCAAAAGAGACCCAATCAACTTTGGCTTTCTTGTAACACGTGTATGGGTACACACACTTTCTGTATCACATTGGACATTGTATATTACCTATGATATTGTGTATCTAAGTAATTACCAGATTTGTGTGTTTTAAGTCTTCAGATACTGGTTCTGTAAAGTTTTTTTTTTAAGTTTTGAAAAAAGTATGAAAATGTCTAACCTGAGGAACAAAAAAAAAGGAAAGTGTTCATCATTTCAAAAATGGAACTGTTAAAAAAATATCAGTGATTAATATTTTCTCCCTGAACAGTTTGACCCTCTGTGGTGGGATTATACCATGCTGCAGCATGGCAAGTTAGTGCCCTCTAATAAAAATAAGTTTGAACAGGCTGTCTGCATGAGTGCAGCAGTTCTCTAAATGATTTGGGGCACAATTTAATTGTGTGTACAAATCGCACATAAACACACACAGGTGTCTTATGAAGGTGTCTGTGTGGTGGTGGGATAACCCTTATGTATCTGTGTTGTGCTAGGTCCTCATAAAGAAATACAGATGTGTGAGCCAAATTTGAGAGAAGCTTCCTCTTAATTTACTAATGATTAGCTCTAGCTGTTCAAGTAATTTTTTTTCTCAATGCCAAAACATGCAATAAATATGTTTGGTGATCTTGTGCTGTTAGGCTGTTAATTTGCTTCATTATTTGCCTTGGTAAACTCTAGAAACTTCTGCTTCTTCTAATTTTATCAGAGCATATTAAAAGAAATATTTTGATATGTGCATAGGATTTTATATAATAGAGCACACATACACATCATCAGTGTTAAAATATGTACACCCATGTATATGCTTTTATAGTATATAAATCATTATAGGAACAATATAGTTTTTAAAATTCTACTCTAGGTAAGCAACTAAATAAGTGATGCAGGCTCAGTCTGTCCTAGTCAGGCTCTGTTGCTTAGTGATCCAAGAAAATGTTACCTGTGCTTATAAAACAGTAACAAACTTAGCACTTCTGGCCACTGTGGAAACGTCTCTGCCTGGCTCCCTAGTTTCTCTTTCTAGCTTCTGCAGATGTTCCTCAAATTCTCTTGACTCTGGTATGGCTTTCAGTCCCATCTTCTACTCTGTTCTTCACCCTCTGTCTGGTATTTAGCCTTTTGCCTGTCCTCTGTGAAATGCCAGACGCTCTCCTGGTCTGTACATTACTGCTACAGGCATGCAGAGGATAAGCAAATGACATCTGCCGACTGCATAAATTTTAGAAGGTGCATGTTTGACAGGGTGGGGTCCTCTCTGACATGGTAGAAGTTAAGCATCACTTTGTGTTTTTCCCCCAACTTTTCAAAGATTGACGGTGGGGCTGCTGGTGATTCGGGCACATTGCTGAGCGCACAAACCATCACATCTGAGTCCATGTCAACAACGACAACCACACACATCACCAAGGTAAAGCAACCCAGGGGAACCTAGGCAGAGGGCGATGCATTGCAAGTAGGGCCTTTTCTGAATTGTTTCTTTGTTCCTAGACAGACTTCTGAGTAACGTGGAATTAAAATTATGCTTCACTGACAAATGTATTTAGACCACATTGCAGTTTTGTAAAGTATAGGGGGTAAGAATGTTACAAATAGCTATACTTAAGACAGCTGCAAGAGCAGAGATATTTTAATAAAATTACATGATGTCCAGTTGGTAAAAAAAAAATTACAAAAATGAACCTGTGCTTCTGCTTTCATTAAATTGGGCCTTCTGCCTAAAGGAAGTGAGTGAAGGTTATCATTCAAAACTTTGAACAAGCTGTTTCAATAATGTAAAATTTACCTCATTTACTTATGACAGGGTGTGTCAATTTGGGGCATTTTCCCAGGTCATTCTCTAAATATTTAACACCAGGTACCCAGTGGCCCAGTGCATCAGCCTCACCTAGGGGCTTAGGTATTTATAAATACCCTGGCCTGGCCTGCCCCACCTGTACAGAAACCTGGGCTTTTAGGAAGCTTCCAGGTGACGCTGTTGTGTGTGAAAGTCACCTCATTTCTAACTCAGATCTTCAAGTATTTTGTCCTGCTTCTACCTTTCACATTTGATTGGTACTTAGTGGTCTTTTACAATAGTCATTACAAAAGTAGTGAGAAACTTCGTGAATCAAAAACTGCCACATAATGCAGGGTGCCACTGGTGCTCATTTTAAAGCATATTCAGATACAAAAGCCAGTGACAGGCTTTATTTCTTATGGGAAATGCCATCACTTGAGACTTAGTGCAGCAGTGTATAAGAGGTGTGGAGGGTGGAGGTGTGTTTTTGCAGGACCATGTGGCATTTGCTCAGTGTGCACTTAGAAGGTATAGGCAGAGGCTGCCCCGGGTGAGCCGGTCGCTGTGAGATGGTTCACCCATGGCACCTTCCCCACAGGTCCCTCCACACAGCCGCTGTGCAGCCATGAGCTGAGGCTGTGATCAGATCACACATGTAATAAAAGTTTTTCTCACCTCCCCTGTTTTCAACCAAGTCCAAGTCCTGCTTTTATTACACTAAACCAGATAAATGGAGTCACCGTATGAATTTGACTAGTAGTCAAAGTGTAACATCCAACTTTTTCTCAAACCTGTAATAATTACATTGTTAGAATAGCTTTTAACTACACATACCAAACAATTATTTCTTCTTTCTTCTGTCCTTTTCAAAAATTGACTGACTGGGAGTGAAGAAACTTGGGAAATTGTGACAAATATCCCAGTGGAACTACTTGCAATAAATGGCATTTGTCCCATTGTAATCTCACCTAAATCTCGCTAAGGTAATCTTAGGGTTGCTTTCAGTTGAGGAGACTTCCAAGTTTCACAGCAGGATTCTCGCTGTCCACCATTCAGCAGCATGGCCTTATGACTGTCAGGAGGGCGGAGCGGGCGCCGTCGTCTTTGCCTTGAGTGTGTGAGCATGTGATAGTGATCGCTGTTTTCTGTTTTTTCAATGACCTTTAGACTGTAAAAGGTGGAATATCTGAAACGAGAATTGAGAAGCGCATTGTGATCACAGGAGATGCAGATATCGACCATGATCAGGTAAAAACGTAGGTTCTAGTTCTGGAAATGACCTTGTCCTTTTGCTGTGGTTTGTACCTGTTGTCACATCCCCTTGCAAACCCTTCCCAGGACTTGCTGGATATGGCCACTTCCTTGGCTGGATATAGCCTATTCATTCAGATTCCCCAGCTCTGACTCAGCAACAAGCAGAGATTGCTGTTTATTTTGTACTGGTTTTATGTGCACGTCAGGCTCAAAACAGTCTGGAGGATTTCTGGCAACCATTAGATATTCACATGGGTATCATTTAAAGACAGATTTTCTAATATTTGAAAGTGAATAACAGTTTAATGGTACAGGCTTCTAAAAACTGAAAAAGGCACTAAAATTTTAGTGTTTTTGCAGCATAAGAAAACTGGCAAATAGCCAGTAACTGCCAGGTGTTTTCCCCTATTATTATTATTGGGTTAGAGGAGGGAGGAGGGAATAATCTGTTTCTCACAAAGTAAAAATTCACATCAATTCTGGAACATTTTCTAAGCATCCTGCTGCTATCCTGATGGTAAGTTCAGCAGAATGCGTGGCTGTGAGCAGGTATGCAGGATCTGCTGGAAACTTGGAGAGCAGCTGTAACTTTAGACCGCAGTCCCAACTGACAATGAGAATTTTTTTTTTCCTGAGTGATTTTAAAAGGTCGCCAAACCATTTTCTTTTTACAACTCGAAGAAGGGAAAAGAAATGTTTAGTGGACCATCTCCACTGGGAGTAGGAGCACATGATGGTTACCCAGCTTTGAACATAACACTGAGCTCAGGAAAGATAATTTTATATTTCATTTTATTTTTATTTTTTGAGATAGAGTCTTGCTGTGTAGTTCAGAGTGGTCTTGAGTTTACTGTGTAGCCCAGGCTGACCTTGAACTCATAGCTATTCTCCTGCCTCAGCCTCCCAAGTGCTGGGATTACAGGTGTGAGCCATCACAGCTGGCCAGGCAAGTGAATTTTAGAGCAAAGAATTTTTTGTTTGAGAAAGAATCTGTATATAACCAGAGAGAAATGGATTTTCTTTTTGCCTAAAAAGAAAATTTTTCGTTTTTTGACCTTTGTAAGCATGGTTTTATAATATTTTATGTAATTTTAAAATGTCTTATGGGTTATTAGAAGCTAAAGTTTGCCTTGACTCTGACTTTTAAGTTAGGAGTGGAGATTTCTAGATAACGAGCAGGACACTTAGCTGCTTACTATGGAAAAAGAGTTACCTGTGTGGAGCACCCATACTTTGTAATGAAATAATTTTTTAATTTGGCAGTGTGAGGTGACAGTTTTCTCATAGTCCTTATTGTTGCTGTAATTAATATTTTACACTATTTACTTTTTTGTGCTTATATTATGGAGTGAAAGGAATTACAGCAAACCTGACTTCAAATGTGTTTGAGGATTTCGATGGCAATTTTTAGTTTTCCTTACTTTTTAAATAGCTTTACGTTTTTTTGTTTTTTTTTTTTTAGAAAAACAGAACATGCTCAGGGTTGTGCTTAGGAATTGTACAGCTGCACAAACTCTAATGCAAACAAGAGTTGCACTTGTCCCCTCAGGAGGCAGAACAAGGGGAAAGGGAAAACTGTGCTGCTTTTTCCCCTCCAAGTGCATAGTTTCTCTTTGAGATCAGGTATTAGAAGAATTTTTTTCTTTTAGACTCCTTTCCTAGATTTTTGTAGTTCTATGGCATTTTGTTTGCTTTTACTTTTCTTTACAAATAAAATTATCAATAAGAAAAGCCTATTTCCTCTCTGAAAAAATACGATCTTTCTATGTTGCTGTTACACTTTTATGCAGTTTACTTTCTGATAAAAACAGCAAGGCTCTGCTTCTCACCGTGTGGACTGGGAAGAGACCACCGGCCACTGGCATTCTGTGGTTGTCCTCTTAGCTGGCTGCTTCTAATCGTGTGTGCTTGCTGCTACTGTCTTAGTTCTGCCTCTTAGAAGTTCACATTTCTCCTGTAGCATTTTAATTGAGCAAATATTTTAGTTTGAACAATAGAGCCTGAGAGGGCAAAGATGAGGCCTGATTCTGTGGCTTGGAATCTCTGGCATTTGGGTGCTAGCTGGTGTTACTGGAGTGTGTAGATCAGCCCTGTGCTGATGGGTTCACGTTTCTTCAGTGCATACAGCAAATTTCAGATGCTCTTTACAGCCATAGCGTTACTCTTGGGTTATAGGCAGTAATGCTGAGGCCCAGAGAAGAGCTGTTTTCTCTAAATGTCACGGTGAGTACAAGACTGGCATCCAAAACCAACATGTTTCCCCTGCATGTGCTGTTATTTGAAAGTGGCTGGAGGAGAGGGAACTTTGCGAAAACATGCAGTGTTCTCCTAAGTGAACAGTGGTCCTAACCTGAGTCTTCTGCTTCCGCCAAAAAGCAGTAAGGCCACTGTCGCTTGCCTGTGAGCCCCGTGTGACGAGTGTGCATCCTGAGGTGGAGCCCGTTCCTCAGTTTGCGGCTTTTTTCTCTTCTGACCCCGCAGGCGCTGGCTCAGGCGATCAGGGAGGCCCGAGAGCAGCACCCTGACATGTCGGTCACGAGGGTCGTTGTGCACAAAGAAACAGAGCTGGCGGAGGAAGGGGAAGAGTAACCGAGGTAAGATGGTGCCCTTGCTGTGGTCTTCTCACGGCTGTTCTGTGATCCTGTGAAATGAAACTTTTTATCAGTGTCTCCGTTTCTTAGTGTATTGGGATTTATTTTAGGCATTTTTAATCTTCAAGTGCAGCTGCTCAAGTACATATAATTATAAACTTTGTGACCTGTTGGGTAGGTCATGTCAATAACTATGATTTCTTTAAGGTTGCTAACCATAAACATTTATGTTTTGCATTACTGTTTATCAAGTGTACTAGTCTAAGTTATGTCATTAACCCTTTGAGGAAGGTTCTGTCACTCCTATTTTAAATGAGAACTTGCCTTTTCTGTATGATGAAAAAGAGTGATTCATGTATTTTCTATGAAGTAGGCAGCGTTCTAGGTCTGTCATTTGAAGAGCTCATCTTTTGCTCTTTAATCTTTCTGCAGTTTCATGTCTCAAGTAGGTGAGGTAACCCACGAGAATGAGGGTACTGGCACTGTCTCATGGTCTGTGTGTTTGTCCCTGCTGCAGTTAATGTACCTGGATGGTGGTGGCGAACCTATGGCACTCGTGCTGCAGCAGGCGTTGTACCATTGAAAGCCCTGAAAGGTTCACCATCACCGCTAGGCTGTCTTTATTGCTGTGTCTTCATGACGGGTCTTGTTATCTGGTAGGGTGTGTCACTCCACTGTTGTTTTTTCTTCATTCTTGACTTTCTCTGTCCCATATAAATTTCATAATCACGTTGATAGGTTGTAAGGTTAAAGCCTGTGGGGTTTTATGTGTGTGTGCTATTGGGGATCTGGCTTGGGACCTTGCACATGCTAGGCTAGGAGAAGTGCTTGCCACAGTTACATCCCTAGCTCTGTGGTATTTCAAGTTCACTGTGGGAATAGTTAGATCTTTATGATAGCAAGTCCTCTTTTCCATGAATATAAAGCGACTCTCTCTATTTGTAGATGTTCTTAGTGTCTTTCAATAAAATTACATAATTTTTTAAATGAGTGACAGTCTGACAACTCTTGCTGTTGCTGGTAAAGAGAGGTACAGTTGACATTTCTCTATTGACATATCTAACGATTTTATATCATTAGATATAAAATACTAAAAATAGTGTTTTACATACTATTCTTAACACAGGGTGTATCATGGGGGCTGTAAGGGCAACTTGTTTAAAATGTTAGCAAATCATAATACCTAGGTGCCTGAATAAATGTACTGTGCTGTATGTAAGCATTTTGTCATTTTATTTTGAGAGGAGTCTCCCTGATAGTGTTATGTATGGGAGACTGAGAGCATTCTTACCTAAGAGCCAGAACACTGAAAGCTGTATTTAAATCTTTACAAATGCCACACTGGGCAACATGGGGCAAGTCTTCAGGATGCTACTCTGCTTTTCCGAACTGTGGAATTTACTACAAGGATAGAGTAAGTTAATAAGAAATGTGGTTTATAATAAATGAAATGTGAGAACAGTGGGTATTTTTCCCCTAAAAGCTAATGCATCAGTTACTTATTTGTGAATCAAATCAGCAGTATATGACAAAATTAGTAACCACTGAAAACATTATTATATCTCACCTTCACTTGGAGCAAACATTGTAGTAAGTTTTAAAGTGAGTGAGTTGTACTGGTTATTCCTGGCATCGTATATTCACTTTTTTCAGTGGATGTGCCCATGTGTGCATAGAAAGACAGACACCCACACACAGTGTTTGAAGTTTATGTTTCCCAGGGGCCAGTTTGATAAGATTTCTTAATAATTGGTTTCATGAAATGAGAGTATGAATTCATATATAAGGCAAACAACTGAATAAATTTGACAAGATTCATTCATCCATTCAGAAAATATTTATCAGGTGCCCATCCACAGGTGCTAAGGCGAGCTGGGCATTGGGGGTTCAGTGGTAGACAAAGTAAACACCGTCCATTTACTTGAGGAGGATATGGCCCAGGAGGGGAGGTGTGACAGTTAATAAAGTATAGCCTAATTTAATAAGTGCTCTGAAGCAGGTAAAGTGCTATCAGAAAAAAGGCCGGGGCACTGCACTAACATAAGCATAACCTGTCACTTGAGAAACGAGCCTGAGTCTGAAGTCTGAGGATAAATAGAGTCACCGCAGCATCTCAGAGTCATTTTTAGCCCCGTCACGCCTGCCGGCTACAGCTGGCTGCTGAAAACTCCTTTGCTGGACTGTCAGCCGAAGAGAGTGTGTTTCTCCTCCTCAGCTGCCTTCCAGCTGCTCCACTGGGATCCCGCAGGCACCGGGCGGGCGGGCTGAGACAGGGAGCCTCACAGGGCCGTGTCTGGAAGTCAGTGAAGAAGAGGAACTGCTGGCGCTGCGTCTGCTGCTTTCCCTCCTGACCTTTGGAGGAGTTCTGAGCTTTTGATCAAGCATTGAAAGTGGGGGTGGCAGGGTCACACAGAAGATGGTCAAAGAACAACCTGCAGAGGAGGAACTGTCCAAGATGCCTTTCTCAGCTGGTGGAGGGCAGCTCTGAGGCAGCCAGGAGCTAAATGTAGTCTGTTAAAAGAACACACACTTCAGATGGGACTGTGCTCAGTCTTTGTAACATTTTTATGTCCGTTTAGGACCCTGCCCTCCTGCCAGCTTGTTCCAGATGCGTACTTAATGAGCCCTCACATGGAGATAAAACATTACCAACCCCAAGCCAGTGGGCTGGTGTTCCTTTAGAGTCCTGATCACGGGGAGAGGGCGGGCCTCGCCCTGGTGGTGTGGTTCTTGTGGCTTTAGAAAGAACAAGCCACAAGGAGAGGGCTTGAGACCCTGCTTCCACTGGCGCCACGAATGAGCCCTCTGAGCTGCCATCACATGAGCCTCTTGGCTCCGGGAGTAACTGTAGATGTGAGCAGAAGGGAGCAGACCCTCGTTCCTGCAAGAGTCATGTGCAGCTGAAGGATGAGATGACAGGGAGCGGCCCTCATCTCTTCGCTCTCCCATTCATGCGTTTGTTCATTCATTCAGCAGAAGGCATGGAAGGCCTACTGTGTATCATCTGCTATTTTATCATGAAAATAGCAAGTAAGATAAGGCCTGTGCTCAAGGACAGTGAGTTGGTGGTAGCAGAATAGTTTCAAGTTTTTTGCGTTCTGTGCCTGATGTGGTAGGAACAAAACAGAGAGAGCTGTGATTCAGAACGGAGTATCAGAGACATCTTCCCACTTAAGCTTCAAGTTGAGTAGGAGTTAGCGCTATGAAGAAAGCTGCAGAAAGGGCCAGTCCTGGGGAACCACTGAGCCTGAGAGGAGCAGCGCAACACCAGTGCAGCTGGACCACAGGGTGCAGTGGCCCAGCGTGATGGGGACAGGGAGGCAGAAGAGAATCACAGTCACTCTGCTTCCGGCCTGAGAGAGAAGCTGCCTGTCATCATGGAATAAGTGACTTTGTTTTTCACATGTCATGTGCAGTGTGGTCAGTCATCTGCTCAGCAGACTGAAAACAAGAGTAAATTTTTTGTTCTGTCTTGCATAGAGGGGAGACCAACTGCCTCAGGAATTCTGCAGAGGACCTGGAAGTGTAAGGCCCATCTTAAATGCACACACGCACACACATGCATGCACACTTTGACTGCAACAGTGATGGCAAACCTTCTAGAGCTTTCAGAAGTATAAGCAGCCCGCCGTGGCATGCGTGCTGTGGGTTCACCACCACCGGACTAGAAGTGTCCCAGGTAGTCTGCTAGTGTATGCAGCATTGCAAGCTTTCTGAGTTGAGTTCTACTTTCTGACTGTGTGGTTTGCACGGGTTACTTCTCCATGCGTCACCGCAGTCATCTGCAAGCTGGGGGTGATGATAGAATTTACAGAAGGGTTTGTTTCCAGGGCAGGTTATCAGACTTTGTAACTTACAGAATGAGCATGGACCTTTTGTTCTTACAAGTCAGGTACAGTTGAAATATCTTCTTGAGAGATGTGGAATTAGCGATCCATGTGTAGGGTCTGAGTGGGGAGGTCCAGGCAAGATGAGAGCTGCAAGAGCACCAGGCCTCAGAACCAGAACCGTTTTCATAGAGCTGGTACAGAGAAGACTAAAAACCTGGTAAACCATGAGTCTTAGCCCTACGAGTCATGTCCCTAGCTCACTGTGGGTAACTCTAAATTAGTGTTGCGTTCTGATTTAGCATGCATGTGTGAATACTCATTTCTAAAGAAGGCGGTATTGTGTGCAGACCATTTCAATGTCAGCGTGATGTTCAGGATTTCAAAGCCTGAACTTGAAAGTGAAACAGAAATTAGCATTAGCGAGCTGACTTGACATGTTTGCAGGACCGAGCCCTGGCTAATCCGAAATCACTCATTTACACGTGCGCTTGACGAACATCATCTGTCCTTTAAAGAGAAGCACCAGCCTGTTGACTTCCTGATGATGATTCTATATTCAGGAGCCAGGAGCTTTTCAAGCATATCAAATATATTGCATTTTTATTTTATTTTATTTGGTTTTGTTAGTCTCATATCTAAAATTAGCATCTTATTACAGCTTAGTTTTCAATACAGATTATTCACACCTAAAATGAAGACTTCTGTAAAAACAAAAAGCCAGTTTGGGTTTAGTTATTTTAGGCACGGCCTGTTTTTACCCTGAAATGCTATAGAATGTTCAAATTTAGCATTTATAAATGTGGCAGGTGTCATCAATGAGTCAGTTTCTAATAATATATTTGAACACCCCAACTAAAGAGGTGCTGGCTGCCGCCCCCGTCAGGTGTTCCCACGCCAGTTAGTCCCTTCATCCAGGGTTTGTGCTTGGATATAATCATTACTGACTGTGTTAGTTTTCCAAATGAAACTGCTTTTGCTGGTAATAAAAGACAGGTTATAATTTTTGAAAAGGGAGATATAGTAGGGAACGGGATGAAGCCATCCATCCTTGTCCTGGTGCTTTCCGTGGTGCACGTGTGTCCTCACGCACAGGCACGCTTACACCCCCACCGCCCAGGGAGGCCGGGCTGTGGCCCTGCTTGCCTCCTCCTCAGCTGTGTGCTGGGGACCGCT